TTTTTTTTTTTTTTTTTTTTTTTTTTTTTTTGACAGGGTCTCACTGTGTAATTTAGGCTAGCTTTAAACTCGCTCTGTAGCCCAGGCTGGCCTCAAACTTGGGGCAATCCTCCTACCTCAGGAGGTGGGATTATAGCATGTGCCACCACACCTGGCAAAGCACTTGTTCTTTACTGGAGCAAAAGTTGATAATAATGGTAGAAATAACTGAGCTGCTAAATAGTCTTACTGGGTTCTAAATTCAAATTTTTAATAGATAAATTATATATGGTATTTATATCTGCTTACAAAAGTTGATGGCAGGGCTGGGGATTTAGCTCAGTGGTTCTGCCACCTGCCTTGCAAGTGCGAGGACCCGAATTTGATCCCCGGTACCTAAATAAATAAAAGTTGATGGTGCCAATATCTCTTATTAGATTCTCTTGGAGTTATGGTAAGTAGACCATGAGTAACAATCTGCTTTCTTTGTTTTTCTTTAGGCTCTTGGATGTTTGTTGTATAAATTATGTTACTTCACGTTGCCATTCGGAGAGAGTCAGGTGGCAATTTGTGATGGCAACTTCACAATTCCTGATAACTCTCGATATTCTCAAGACATGCACTGCCTTATTAGTAAGTATTTCAAGTTTTTAGTTTCATATTTTTATCTTTAATGACTGGAAATGAATTGGAGGATAAAGGGATTAGATTTCATGCACAGTAGATTGGATCCAGTGATAAAGCAATCCGTGATAATAGTTGGGAGGGAATACAGAGATAATTCAACAGTGTCTACTTAGTAGTGCAACTTTTTGCTAGAAATCTAAACTGTTTCATACCTGAGCCGGGGTACAAGCAGAAATCCTAGTTGTGCTTTCAGCAGTAATGCTGTGTTCTATTGCAATCTGTATGAAAGCTCTGGCACCAAAGGTGTCCAGCTGACTCATATCAACTGATAAGAAATTCATTCTTGCAAAACTGGAAGCAACTCAAATGAAAATGATTACAGTGCATTGGCTGGAATGAATACATAATTAAGACTGTATAACTGTGGAACCAGGTTTTTCTTCCCATTTAGGTTAATCACTGGATTGGTATAACAAGCATCTAAACTCAGTGCTTAAGGTTCTCCAGTTTTTTTGTATCATCATAACAAGCATATGTAATAGCATCCATTAACCAGATGGTAGAACAAGTAATCTTTGCACAAGACCCTGTACTGAAATGCTAAAGAAAGGGATTTTTTAAAAAAATCATCTTTCACTTTTATCAAGACATTTAGCATCTTAAGTTTTAACCATTTGGATCCTAAATCCTGAGCAACCTAGTTTGGGTCCTGGGTAGGATACGTTGAGAAAAATAGAAACACCAGATTTGAGGTGGAACATCTAATGTATATTGAGCGGTTTGTGTAGCCAGGTATGGTGTTGTATGCCTGTGATTGCATTACTTGGGACACTGAAACAGAAGGATTGAGAGTTCAAGACCAGCAAGGGCTACATACTGAGTTCAAGGCCAGCCTAGATTACATAGCAAGACTTTGTCTCAAGAAACAAGCAAACAAACCAAAATAACTCTGTAGGCTGTTGTTTTGTTTTGTTTTGTTTTGGGCAGTGCTGGGAATTGAACCCAGGGTATTGTGCACGCTAGGCAAATTACCACTGAACACCACAAGTCCCAAACATTATATATTTTCAGTATAATTATCCCCCAGCACATGAGGAAACTGAAGCTGAGAAAGTACAGATAGCTTCTTCAGGTTTACATAGTTGCAACTTTTTTTTTTGTTCTTGCCTTGTTTGTTTGTTTTTTAAGATTGAATCCCACTATGTAGTTCAGGCTGGCCTTGAACTCACTATTATGTAGCCTGGACTGGCCTCAAACTTTGTGACCCTCCTGCCTCAATTTCTTGAGTACTGGGAGTATAGGCTTGAGCCACATCTGCTATAGCTGTAGCTTTTAAGTGACTACCCATTACATTTGCCAGATTTATTAGCCTCTTCTATTCATTAACATGGTGGGGGTTGGGAGAGTTTAAAGGAACCAAATATGGCATTTCATGATTGTTGGATTGTTTACAGAGTAAAGAATTGTACGTATACTAGAATTACAGATATGTAGGTATATTGAAAGGAAATACAAATAATAGCCAAATTTGGTATTGCTGGTATCATTTTTAGTAATTTTTTTCTGAACATTTGTACAGTAAATTCATATTGGTAAAAATGACTCTTTATGAATATCTTAAACACTTTATAGCTTTCAAAAACTCTGTTTCAGCTTACACACAATTTGAAAACTTGTTATTACCTGAAACTCAGATGTCTAAAATTCTGTTGCCATTGTCTGTCCCCTTCAGTATAAGATTTCTCTCTCCTCTTTTCAGTTTCTCTCAGTGGTGTTGCCATTCAAGACTGGATGGATGAAATTTAAGACTTTCTTTGAACCTGCCTAGGAAGAAAGGGGAAAACCAGTCATTTCTTAAGCTGTATTAATTATATCTTTGTAGTTTCTATTTTCATTGGCTGTCTTGATTCTTATCACTGTCTCCATAGTATATACAGTATGCACAGACTGTCAGCTCCTGCCCGTACCCAATACCCTCGTCAGTACTGGAATTGAATCTAGATTCTTGTGCTCCATCCCCGGCCCTCACAAAATTATTCTTATAAAACATCACCTTCTCACATACTGTTCAGTAGACTTGAGTGGCCAGCTCGTGGTTCCGCACAATGGGGCCAAGGTTCTTAGCATTGCATTTAAGACCCTTCAGAGCCTGGTTCAGTCCCACCATCCAGCCATCTCTTTACCTTGTCCCAGCTCCTTTCTTTCCATGTAGCACAGCATTAATTCTCTTGCCTTTCTCCAAAGTCACCTTTGTTCACACTGTTCTCTCACCTGGACTGTCTTTTTCTTTGCTTTTTCCCTAAAATTCTGTCCTGCCTCTCCTGCCAAGCCTTCCAAGATCTTTTCCAAACTTTGTGTCCAAATCATTTATCATTTAAGCAGTAAACTGCTTTGTACTTTTTGTACATTTACACATGTGTCTGTGTCCTTTCGAAGACTTTTCCTGAGGGATTTTCTAGCTTCAGAGGGGCCAGAAGCTGGACTGAGGGTGTAGCTCAGTGGTAGAGCACTTACCTAGAATGTGTAAGGCCCTGGGTTTGACCCCTGGGGCCTTAAAAGGCAGAAGCTTAAAGGGCCTATTGATCATTGTTAAATTAGATCTGTGTATGTTATTTTATAATTTCTCTTAAACTAGAAACCAGCTGTTATCTCCAACAAAAGATTAGTAAGTCAATTCATGTAGTTTGGGTCTTGGTTATAATCAGCAGAAGTAATCATTTGTTTAGCGAGATAATGTGAACCAGGGAAGCCATAAGCAAGACCATCCTAGTTGTCCAAACATGAAGCGGGGTGTAGCTTTCATATTGATGGCTTAAGGCCTTGTTGTGCAAGGCCCAGAATATGAACTTTAAGTAGCATTTTTACAATTGAGTAGTTTATTTTGATTTGCATATTAACTATTATAAGAAATTTAGAACTTTCCTTTCTAGGAAAAGTGCTAATGGTGCTTTCTGACTTTTATGAGAAATGAAAATTTAAAAGCAACCAAAGTTTGGTAGTAGAAAAGTTATGCTTCCTAGCTAATGTAATAACTGTTAGGAAATGACTAAATAAGTTTATGTGTGTTTGTCTTAGGGTATATGTTGGAACCAGATCCCGACAAAAGGCCGGATATTTACCAGGTCTCCTATTTCTCATTTAAACTACTCAAGAAAGAATGTCCAATTCCAAATGTACAGGTATGTGTATGATGTTTTAAGGGGAAGTAAACATTATGAAGCTGTCATTTTGACTCCTAGGGGTATTGATCAGCTGCTTAAATGAATGTAGATGTCCCTTGGTTTATCTACTAAGGAGCATTCAAGGGGCCGGGGATTTAGCTCAGCGGTTCGGTGGCCTGCCTCGCAAGCGCAAGGACCCGAGTTCGATCCCCTGTACCA